ACCCTATAAGATGTTCTTGAGGCTCCGTCACGGGCACCCCGCCATACTTGCTCTAGCCGTCTGAGGTCCCGCTTCATTTTCTGAAGCTCCTCGGTAAACCAGGGAGCCCGGTTTCTGCGGGGTCGCAGAGGGCGCTTAAGTACGATCTCATCGATGGCTGCCAGGAGCTGGATATTCCAGCCCTCAACGAGCTCAGCCAATGAGTTGCCAGGGGTAGCAAAGTCCCACAAGGCTTGACGGAATCTATCAGGGTCCATCAGCCTCTGCGGGCGAGCCCAAATCGGCTCGCCACCTAAGCAGGGTGGGGGTGGAAAGTCAATCCTGGCTTTCAGAGCGTAGTGATCAGACCATGGCACCTTCATCGAAGGAGACATGATCACATCTATACCGACGCCAAAGATCAAATCCAGCGTGTGGCCTGCTTGATGCCTTACCGCCAAACCTTACAAAGTTGTGATGATTTCTAAGAGGTAGGTGAAAACCAAGTGGCTGGTGCCAATTTGCAAATGGAAAAATACCTGAAGTGCCTGGAATCTAAAAAAGTAAGATTGAGTTAACAAACTTGGACTGGGTCCTTGTTGAACAATGTACCCGACAAAAAGGGCACACTTTAATTAATTAATTAATTGAGTGGGGGGAAAGGAATTTCTGCTAATATGGAAGCTTTTGGTGGTGAGTTAAAATAAAAACAGTTCTTTGGAATATAGAATTCAAGCAGCCACTTTGCATCACAATATTCAACAGGGAAGGCAGTAAGAATAGAGCTTTTATTAGGAAGCAGCATTTAAACTGAAGATTAATTTTTTTAAAAAAAACAGCTTAAAACAAAGGGTAAAAATTAAAAACAGAAACAGAAAAGAAATTTAGAAGTTCGTGACTCATAAGCTTCTTCCTCTAAAAAAACCCATTGTAATTGAACCATTCGGCTCCCTTTCTTCCACTGAGATTATAATGGCTCCCTGCTATCTAAGCATGTGAGACTAATAATAGCATCCATCCTCATAACCATACTATTAAGGGAGAAGATGACAGCAGGAGCATGAGAAGAAGAAACAACAATATACGTAAATCACCCAGCCCTGGCAGAATGAGGGAAATCTAGAGATCTGGATGAACATCCACTATTCCAAAAGCCTCCAGCACAGGAGAAGGCATCATTCTTCTCAGCCTCTGAAAAAAAACAAAAACAAAACCCCAATGAAACTGAAAAGGGGATGGGCTGTTTGAGCTGCAATCCTCTGTACATTTATCTGAGAAAGTAAACTATAGAACACAGATTTGCATATGAATAAAATGCGTTGGACAGCACTGTTAATGAGATTACTGTAGTACCCAGCATTATTCCCAATGGAAATTTGAACAAAGCACAGAGTGAATCAGGTTTATCCTAGATTTTTTTTTTAAAAAAAGTAATGGAAGATGACTTGGATATAAGTAGTATTTGAGTACAAAATAGACGGAGTGGTGTGTGGGTGTCGGGGTGTGCGGGGGTGTGATGATAAGTAGCTACACACACAAGAGAGAGATCTGGGCTCAGTATGTACATCTGATTCTAGAATCAATAGAGAATGAATACTCCCCTCCCCCCTGCATAGTCCACACACAATCTAGATCTCATTGCATATATATTTTGCCCTTGAAAAGTGCTTCTTGAGAAACAGGTTTCATTCCAAAAATAAAAGCTCATTGCAGATTGATTCTGTGTTACCCCTCAATGTGTCCATTTGAAATTGTAGTCCCAGACATGGAGGGAATATCCACACCTGCCCAATGACTTTGTGGGTGGGTGTATACCAAGATCACCATCATTAGTTCTTCATTCCCCTGGGGCATGTGTAGAGAGGAAAAATGTATGGGTTACCTAATCAAGCAGAGGATTTTCAAATGTGCATCAACTAACTACGCCCACTCTTGTGGACAGCAGGATCCAGAATCAAATCTAGATTGAAAGCAGCATGGTGAGGCTGAGTGCAAGTGATTCTGGACTGAGAAAAACTACACTGTTGTGGTAGAAATGGGTTAGTGTACGTGAAACCATAGATATATCTATATGTAACAGAGGATGAATGTCGTTACTATATGTTAAAGTGGAACAGGGCTATACGTACATATTATATTCTCCATACAGTTCATCCATTCTTGTAGGAAGCAGCCCTCAGCTTCTAAAAATGCTTAAAGGTATTAGAAAATAAAATACACAAGGACAAGAAGAAGAGGGTGGAAAGGAAAAGAATATAGGCGACAGAAATGGGATCTGATGGTGACAGGAGCAATGAGTGAGCCCATGCCAAGCAGCCTTGACCCTGATGTCATGTGCTTCTCTGCAGCCTTTCCCCAGGGTCCGAATATGCAGCAAGGATGCCTGTAGGAAGTGGACCCTTGCATGTATCATTGTAAAGGCAAAAGCTTCAGAATTTGAAATCCTGCTGATTCTGGGTTTGTGATTTAATGGAGGCTTTCATGTCTACAACTATGTGTGTGAAGGCCGCCTCCTTACAGATGCCCACACTGTGCAGAGGGAGCTCACGATTCCAGGTCGGGGCTACTCATCACTTCCCTGTGCTCTTTGCTTCCATGCAAAGCTATATGGGAGAGAATAATGCCTGAAGGGGGCTTTAATTTATCTCATTATTATGCTGGCTTTTTATATTTTTCCGTCTGGGTGTTCAGTTGCGCAATGCTTTTTTATGTGTTGTGAAGTGCTATGAGCTGCCCCTACTTAGCTGATTCCTTCTCATCTGTCAGTCAAATTTGATTGACTTACACCCACTTTATAACCTTGTGGAAAGTGCCAATGAATGTACGTGAGATAAGATCATTGCCATCTCCTAGCACTGGATAACACAGAAACTGGGGGATATAAGAGCATCCTGTCAATCAGTGCCGGATTTACGTATAAGCTAAACAAGCTATAGCTTAGGGGCCCACTCTCTTGGGGGGGAGCCCAAAAAAATTAAAGGAAAAAAATGTACATTTCCAAAATATAAGATAAAAAACAAATAAAATAAAACCTACATACAGCAACAGTGTTTTGTGTGTAGGTTCCTATGATGTAAGTCGTCGGCCCCGCCTGCTAGCCTGCTCCCTAAAATATCACAAATCTTCAGTAGCTTAGGGTCTCATCAAACCTAAATCCGGCCCTGCTGTCAATATTTCCACAGAAGTATGACCCACCGAGTTCAGTGGGGTGTACAGATAAATAGGTATAGGATTGCAGACTCAGTGTGTTAAATACATTGGATTTAAACAACCTAAACTAAATGGGGCACGTTTTGAAAACATCAACACTGTAGAGCAGTGGGTTTTTTTAAAAGGAGGTACTCAAGGGTACGCAGTACCAGCACCTCTCTTCGTTTGTTGTTAAAAAGTGTGACACTTACTGTAACAACTTCATGATGAATACCGGCACCTATTTTTCTAGGGGGGGAAACCAGTGCTGTAGAAATAGATACCTTTCCATTAGTGCTGAGCTGAGAAAGAACTTTTGACTCAGATTTGGGAGAGGAAAGCAATACTGGAGTCTGAAACACAGAGCATTACTATATTTTTGGAGGGGGGGTTATTAAAGTGTTTGTACAGATCGGCTTACTATTGCCTCTGGTGCAGCAGCAGGACAGTTGCAGGATTTATTTTTCTTTTAAGAATGTTGATGAAGAGTTCTTTCTGGATCCTCTGTCATTCAGGGCAATTCTGGGAGAAATAAGTAATGCCAGAAAAACTGTGCTGTACACGCGCACGCGCGCGCACACACACACACACAGAGAGAGAGAGAGAGAGAGAGACCACCTTTGCCTCTGGGGCATTTATGGGGGAGGGATGGCAGCTTCAAGGAAAAGCACTTTGCATGTGTTCTTAAACTTTAAAAAAGGAAGGATTTTAAGAAAACAAACTGATGCCCTGCAGCAATTCGTAAGCCCACCTCTATCACAAACACTTTCATAGACTTGTTGTTCCCTCCTTCAGAATTACTGAAAATGACTGATGGCTCAGCATTGACTTAACTGCGTGCTTCCTTTCAACAAAGGGGTGAAAAAGGGATGTGGGGGACCCTTCTCCCTAAACAAAAAAACACCTACCACGCTACATCTCACTCATTCTTCATATGATTTTTTAATATATGGACAGCTTGTGCACATTCCCTAATGAGAGCTACCCTACAACATTTTATAGTGAAGGGACTCATCATAACTTTATTTCCCATAAAGGGTGGAATTGCCATGGTTTTATAACAGAGAATGTTTCATGCCTTAATGGGAAAGCCACTCCCACGACTCTATAATTATAGACACCAGGACACTGCAGAATTCATTAGACAGTTAACTTCGGAAAGTGCCAGAAAAGCTCATATTTTTAACACAAAACAATTTACGCAGACAAAATGTTCAAGAAACAAAAGCGAATACTTGGCAGCAGCTGGCAATACACTCAGTTCAGCCCCAGTTCAGCCAAAGAGAAAATGGGGCCAGGATGAAAGGAAAAGAAGGATTAAGGCAGAGCACTGCTGAGAGGGGGACACATTTTGGGAAGGGAGTGCAACTGTGTACCAAAGGAAAACAACAATATTCCAAATAGTATTTCTAGAAGTAAATCCCCAATATGGACACATTAAACTATATAGTTTCTTTTGTAAGAGTCCCCACCTCTGCTTACCAAGATGGAGGAGGTGACATTGGTGCAACACAGGCAAAGCCAATCTGCTGCTCCTGTTGTCTCAACCTTCCCTCTCTCCATCCCAGTATGCAGTGGTGACTTGGCAGGAAGGAGCTCAAATGAGTGGCATCCCACCATAATATCCACTACTGCTGCTTTCACAATAGCTGTTATCCTATATAGCATTAACTGGTGGGAGGGTGGGTGGGCAGAGACCTTCTACAGCTCAAAGGTTGCCTTCCCTCTTGGACAGCCATCCAGGGGCACAACCCAGTGATGAACCATGGGGGGTGGGGGATTCTTGATTGCCTGGATGAAAGACGGGTGTGTGAGAGCCTACAGGACAAAGGCAAGATTTACATTCATTGCTTAGATCATTTTTGCCCATTTGCCCTTTGCTTAGACCATTTGTGGGGAAGGGCAGAGGCAAAAATGGTCTAAGCAATGAATGTAAATCTTGCCTTTGTCCTGTAGGCTCTCACACACCTGTCTTTCATCCAGGCAAGCAAGAATCATGATCAGACCTCAAAGACACAGCTGCCATAAGTTAGTCAAGCATGCATTTTAAAAAAATAAATGCATGTTGTCAAAACTTGAAATTGCAAGTTCACCAAATAATTTAAAATTTAAAAATCCCATTGAGAGTCAGCATGTATGAGGTCCACAAACGTAGCCTGTAACTTTCTTACTGCTAGCATATACAGTGGTATCTCGGGCTAAGTACTTAATTCGCTCCAGTGGTCCGTTCTTAACCTGAAACTGTTCTTAACCTGAAGCACCACTTTAGCTAATGGGGCCTCCTGCTGCTGCTGCGCCGCCGGAGCACGATTTCTGTTCTCATCCTGAAGCAAAGTTCTTAACTTGAAGCACTATTTCGGGGTTAGCGGAGTCTGTAACCTGAAGCGCATGTAAACCGAGGTACCACTGTATAGGTGTCCTAAATCCCTGGCCTAGCTGGCAGCAAGTCAAGTCCCCAGTCTAGGGCCATTCCACATGTCCAAAATCCAAACTGAAGGACAGTCCCATAGAGATCCTGGAGCATTCAAGCTGAATTTCATCAACATGGGCTGTTGAGCAGATACAACATCTTAGCTCTGTGCCCTTTTATACTTTGCATGCTGTTTGCAGCATCTGGGCTTGATGGGGCATGTGACCCTTACTAGTTCCTAGCCTACTGCAGCTGAGGAATCACACGCTTCTTTCCAGAACTAGCAAGCCCACCTGGCCAGCTAGTGAGCTGGGCTGTCAGCCCTTGCCTGCCTCAGTCTCCTGGAGCACCCCACCAGCTGCTCCCTATGCCTCAGAGCCCACCATGTTCGTGCAGACAGGGGTCCCTCTGGCTCTGGCGATGGGCCCTGCTGCTCTGGTTCCTGTGCACTCACCCCCAACCCCTCATCATCCTCTGTTACCCAGTGAGTACTTCCTACACCAACCTCTCCTTCCCCATCCCCAACCTGTCCCAGTGTATCCCAATCCCAGATAGACCCCTCACTGAGATCCTCTTCCTTCTCCCCATTGTCCTGTCACTTCATGACAATAAAGCTACTCTTAGGTTAGATAATCAACTCACTTACGTACATCAGCCAGCAGCTATCTAATTTTGAAACAATCTAATTCATCCTTTAGAAAATCTGGAAGGTCAGCATATGCAAAGATGACCTGCTAAAGAATTTCCCAGAAAAATATTCATTGGACATACTTTGAAATTTTAGTTATGTAAATTCATGTTAACAGGGATGGGTGGGAGTAATTACCCTAGATAATCAGTCCTATCCAAAACCAAAGATTAAGTATTTTTCATATATTCAGAGCTTATATTTAAAATCACATCATGGATCTTACAGTATGAAATGCCTTGATATGACATTACAAGGGAAACTGAAAACTGGACATCAAGCAGTTACAAAACAGCACACAGCTTTCACTATTCTGCAGGTCTTAAAACACAGTGCTTTTAAAGAAGGAAGACCTTCTTCAGTTAAGTACTGCACAAGATATAATATGTAGGACTCCAAGTAGTGCAAATCAAAACTTATTTTATATTATATCCTGTTCATCTCTGCTAGAGCTACCCCCAGATTGTTGCACAGTATTAACAAGCAAAATAGGGTTATAGCAACAAAAACTTTTATTGTGATGACCATTTTAATGATAATTATATTGACTGTCTTTGTAGCCCACAAAGAATGGGTTTTAATTAAGTCAAAATGGATGTGCCATAGAGCATTTCTTAAAAATAACCATTGAATGATATTACCATCCAAGATCTATTTACAAAGTTTAAGCATCAGTGAGTAGCACGAGCTGAGCTGCGAGCAATAAAACTATGGTTGTTGTTGGTTGTTTTTTTAAAAAGGGACATGATCCAGTCAAAATTGATAAACATTTGTGTCCTATTGATTTAAGCATTGTTATTACTGCCATTATTACTATTATTATCAGTATTTATTAGTTGCTTTCCTAAGAACTGACTCAAAGTGACTTACAATCAGAATTACATATTTTGAAAAAAGATTGTATCCTTAATTTGTATAGCTCTAAGACTTAACAAGTTGGCAAGTAGAAAAAAAAGGCAGTCAGCACAGTGGATTGTATACTGTACATAGGAGTATCTGCTTCTGTATTCATTCGTGCTGTGTGGATGCCCAGTTGAGGCACTGGCAAATGAAACTGGATGTGGAAGGGAACAACTTGCCAGCTTTCAGCATGTCATTTGGCAGATGGTGGTTCTTGCAAATGCCTTTTGGGATCTCATTTGCACAAGAGTTTTTCCAAGGAAAGCACATGAGGAGCTAGAAGGCTTGCACAGAGTGGGTGTCATAACTGAAGATATACCAATTTATAGTGCTATAAAAAAACAGCATGACAAAAATATGATTAGGAAAGATGCTGTAAGTACCACGCGAAGATTAATTCAGAGGGGGGAAGGGAAATCAATTAGGGCTAGATCAAATTGGGCATTTTGAAATAAAGTAATTTGTATCAAGATAGAACAAAAGAGCACAAAGAAAACGGCTCAACAATTCAGCATTCTTTGCCTCAGAAAAGATCCAAAGATTATTGGAGGAAAAAATACAGCCAAGTAGTTCCCAGGCATGGCACATGCCCATTGCATCATTATCATCTTAATAAAAAATACTTTGGATGCAGTCTTGGCTCTAGGGAAGTAAATGACCAGCTTTCATTGATTTTAATGGGAATGGGATTTCACCCTTAGAATGCAGCTAATGAGTCATGTGTTCATAATGCTGCACAAACACTAACTATTAATTACTTTGCTTTCTTAAAAAAAACAAGCCACAAACAGAAACAGGCTTCCTGGAACTGTGCCATCAGTAGCACATATAAGCAATGTAAGACCCTTCAGTAAAGAGGGCCTAAATGATTTAGGAACACAAGTATCACTCAATATGCAGCGAAGCTATTTATTAGTTTATTATGGGATTTTTATTTGTTTTGAAACTAACAAGCTACCTTTCAGGGCAATTGCCCTCTCAAGTGGATATACAGAATGGCTATGCAGTGGACATAAAAAACCATACAAAATAAAATCAAATTTCGCACTGCAGGTCTTAAAAAGACACATTAATTAATTAAAAAGTTCTTTGAAATAAGAATACCTTAAGGGCTTTTTGAACTTCTGCCTTTCCACTAATGTATGGAAATTTATACACATATTTCACAGTTGTGTCTCACAAATATTCACTCATACTGCCTATCACACGCCCATTAACACAAGCACAGGTAGATACAAAACAAAATTTATCTTACACACCCACACTCACTTATGCTGGGAAACCTATTCCCCCTCTCAAGAATATGTGCATATTTCTCTTCACCATTTCTTTCTCTGTGAACACGTGTGAGACTGCAGTTGCTTTCTTGTAGGGATGCAGTGGCACTGTGGTCTAAACCACTGAGCCTCTTGGGCTTGCTGATTGGAAGGTCGGCGGTTCGAATCTGTGCGACGGGGTGAGCTCCCCGTTGCTCTGTCCCAGCTCCAACCAACCTAGCAGTTCGAAGGCACACCAGTGCAAGTAGACAAATAGGTACCGCTGCAGTGGGAATGTAAATGACGTTTCCATGCGCTCTGGTTTCCGTAATAGTGTTCCATTGTGCCAGAAGCCGTTTAGTCATGCTTGCCACATGACCTGGAAAGCTGTCTGTGAACAAACGTTGGCTCCCTCAGCCTGAAAGTGAGATGAGCGCCGCACCCCATAGTAGCCTTTGACTGGACTTAACCGTCCAGGAGTCCTTTACCTTTACCTTTCAGTGGCGTAGTGTGGGGGGTGCAGGGGGGGCCGGCCGCACCGGGCGCAACATCTGGGGGGGGCGCTCGCACTCGCAGCTCTCTGCCCCTACCTGGCTCACTCACTCTCTCTCACTGCAGTGCTGGCTGTGCGAATCCGATCCGAGCCGCTGGGTCGCTGCCCACTGTGGAGGGGGTGGGTGCCAGGTGTGCGGTGCGGAGAGAGAGCGAGGGACTATCTGGGGGAGGGACAGTGCAGCGGCCACCCAGCGCAGCGCTGAGCGCGGGAGAGAACCACACCAGACCAGACCAGGCAGCAGCAAGAAGAAGCTGGCAGCGGCGGCAGGTTAGGGGTTAGGGGGCGCAAATTACTTGCCTTGCCCCGGGTGCTGACAACCCACGCTATGCCGCTGTTACCTTTACCTTACTTTCTTGTCCCATATCATTTGTTTCCCATTAGAAGCTGAGAACATACTCAGTTTGTGCTAGATGCTAGTTCTGAATGTCAGGCTTTATGCAGGTTTTATTTTGTGAGGGTTTTGTCAATAAGGATACTTTTCCCCATTTATTTTGTCTGAAATCATCATCATATGACATTTCTTGGAAGCTCTGAATCACCTGCTCTTGAACCTCAGGAATACCTTTTTTTTGTCATTTGCATGACACTTGGGAAATTATTGACACGCAACCCATTATTTCGGGGTAAAAAACAGAAACCACCAAAAGATAGGCTAGGTTATGTAGATTTTTGTCTTCATTTTTGTCCTACACAAGATGCAGGAAGACTATTAGCCCTATTGGCGTTTGGTTGACCATTGTTTCATTGCCATAGAGGAACCTTAAGCACATACTTTCACAGTTGTGTGAGTCATACTGACAACAACTAGCCATTGACTGGGACTAAGATGGTATTATTGTTGATATCTAAATGGTGGATCTAGTCTGTACATTTTATATGACCCCTATACCAGTTTGATAGCCATGAGTACTGAAACTGAATGTTGCCCTTAAATTAGAGGATGATACTGTACACAATTAAAGAGATATAAATTATTGTATTATCCCTCATTGTGACATAAATCTTAGTTATTCAATGTAATGAATGAGAAAATAAATGATCTGTTGATGAATGTTAGTATTGGGCTTTTGTTATCTAGTAACAAATATGCTGTGGTGACATATACATAGCAAAAAAGGAAACCATTTGTGTG